GCAAAAGAATAAGCTAAAGATAATAAAAATAAACCCTTAGCTAAAATACTATAATAATATTAAAAGTATAAGAAATTATATTAGCAAGTACTTAAAAAAGGACTATTACCTTACTTAAAATAAGATTATAAGATTGTTTTTAAAGATAGAACTTCACTAAAGCTCTACAAGATCTATAACTTAAATAAAACTAAGCTTAAAATGCTTAAGGAATAGCTATAAATATAATTAAATAAAGAATATATTAAAGTATTAAACTCTTCAGCAGGGTACTTTATTATTTTTATACTAAAGAAAAATAAAAAGCTTTATTTAGTTATTAACTATTAATAGCTTAATAAAATAACTATTAAAGATAAAATGCCTTTACTATTAATTACTAAAATTAAAGAAAGATTATAAAGCATAAACTAGTTTATAGCCCTAGATTTTATAGAAGCCTATAAACTTATAAAAATAAAGGAAGAATATAAATAAATAACTGCCTTTAAAATAAAATATAGATTATTTAAATATTTAGTTATACTATAAAGACTTATAAATACACTAGCATTATTCTAGAAGAGAATTAACTTTATTCTTAAAAAATACTTAAATAACTTTATAGTAGCTTACATTAACAATATCTTAATTTTCTTAAGGATATTAAAAGAATATAAGGAATATATCTATAAGGTATTATAGAAACTATAAGACACCAAGCTTTTTATTAACCCAGATAAATATTAATTTTATATATAATAAATTAAGTTCCTTAAATACATTATTATACTAGGGGAAGTTTAAATAAATCTAGATAAAGTTACTGCTATTTAAGATTAAGAACCCCTAGAAACTTATAAAAGATTATAAAGTTTCTTAAAACTCACTAACTATTATTAAAGATTTATCTAAGGATACAGCAAAATTATAAAACCACTAACCAACGCCACTTAACTTAAAGAAGATAAGAAGGGCAAGAAGAAATAGAAAGACAGGAAACTATCTTAGACTAATAAAATAAAATTAGCATTTCAGGAACTTAAAGATGCTATTATTAGTAAACTAATACTTACTATATATAACTTAAGTAAGCCTATTAAAATAAAAACAGATGCTTTTAACTTTACTTTAGAAGGAACCTTAAGATAATAAAATAAAGATAGAAGACTTAAGCCAGTAGCTTTCTTCTTTAGAAAACTATATAGCCTAGAACTAAAATATCCTATCTATAATAAAGAATTTTTAATAATTATTAAAGCATTTAAAAAATAATAATACTACTGCTTAAAAAATAAATATAAAATTAAAGTCTACACTAACTATTAAAATATATTTTACTTTATAACTATATAATAACTCTCTGTATAATAAATTTATTACTTTAAGTTTTTAATAGACTTTAATTATAAAATTATTTATTATAAAGGAATAGAGAATGGAAAAGCTAATGCTTTAAGTTAAAAAGAAAAATATTTTAAAAAAATTCCTAAATTTAAGGTATAAATTTTATATAAAAATAACTAAAAGAATTATAAGTAAATTAAAATTAATACTCTATTTATTATAAAAAAACATAACCCTATTCTTAATAAAATTAAGGATTAAATTAAAAACTAATAACTAGAATAGTTCCTTAAGGAAGTAACTATAATTAATAGACTTTTAAGATAGGGTAAATAAATTTAAATACTAAAGGAATTATAAATAAAAGTAATTTAAGATGTTTATTATAGTATAATTACAGCAGTATATTAAAGTATATAAACTACTTATAATTATATATTATACTATTACTGCTTTAAAGGATTTAAATAAAAAGTTAAAGAAGTTATTAAAAAATGTAATATATATAAGAAAATGAAGGATAAACAATATCGGCTATATGGGAAATTATAACCTATTCTAGTTCTTAAATAGAACTAATATACTATTATATTTAACTATATTACTAATTTACTAGGGTTAAAGGAACCATTAACTAATATAATCTATAATAGTATTTTTATAGTAGTAAATAAACTCTTTAAGCAAGCCTACTTTTTACTATATAAAAAGTCTTATACTATAAAAAATTTAATATATTTTTATATATAATATATTTTTACAAAATATAAACTATTAGTAGAAATTATATTAAATAAAGGAAATACCTTTGCTTTTAAGTTTTAATAAAAACTTATAGCTAAACTTAAAACTTATTATAAATTAAACACTATATATTATCTATAAATAAATAGCTAAATAAAAAGAATAAATTAAGTTATTAAAGTATACTTATAATGCTATATTAACCTTATATAAGATAATTAAGTAAAAAAACTCCCTGCAGTATAAAATTAATATAATAGCTTTATTTTAGAATCTATAGGAGTTATACTATTTTATGCTAACTATAGATTTATATTAGAAGCCTATAGACTACCTTACAATAATTTAAATATAGAAAATACTTAAATTTTAGCTAAAAATATAATTTAATTATAGAAAGAACTTAAGGAATAACTTAAGTTTATTTAAGATTACATAAAGCAATAAGCAGACTGAATAAAGATTAAAGGACTAACCCTTTAAAAGGAAGATATAGCCTACCTACTATAGTACTTATGCAATAAAAAGTTATTAAACATTAAAATAAATTAATTAAGTAATAAACTGGATTTTAGAAAATTTAAATTATTTAAAATTCTAAAGAAAATTAAAGAAGTTAACTATAAATTAAACCTACTTAATAATATAAAGTTAAAAACAGCTGTTTTTTATATCTTACTACTAGAAAAAGCATTAGTAGACGAAAAAACAGGTAAACTAATTATAGATAAAATCATTATCTAAAATAAAGAAAAGGAATATAAAATTAATAAAATAACTTATATATAAATAAATAAAGAAACAGGCAAATAAGAATACCTTATAAAATAAAAAGGGTATAACTTATCTAAAGACTTATAGGTTCTTAAAAAAGAACTTAAGAGGAATGCTTAAGCAATCCTGCAGGGATATTATTAATCTTTAAAGATAGAAATAGCAATAGGTTTAAATTAAATATAGATTAATTAATGATATTAATGGACTAGGATAGGCTGGCGGAATTAGGCGCTGCTAAGGCAGCTTAATAAGCAGCCTCTATAGCTTCCCTCTCCTTATATTTAATGTGCTTTAATTCTTTTAAATTATTAATATTATAGAAAATAGCTTATGCTGCTTTTTTTTTTTAATCCTTATGCTGCTTATAAAGATAAGCAATCTTAGCTATTAAATGCATTGCCTTCTCTTCAGCAGCCTTAACTTTATTATTTAACTAATCTTAATAACAGGAAATTTATAATAATTATTAAGCAGTAAAAAAAGCCTTATAATAAAACTTATAATCTTTTATATATTTAAAATAGTAACTTAAATCTTTTATTAAGGTAAGGCATTAAATACTTTTTTTTTTATATAAATAATAAAGCTTTATTTTAATAGAATAAGAAAGAATAAATGCAGTAAGTGCTATACTTTTATTAACTTTTTTTTATTTTTAAAAATTAGGAATTTTTAATTTTTAGATATAGTAAAATATAATAAATACTAAAAGAAGAATATAAAGAAGGAAAATAACTTATTAAGAAGGATATAAGTATTTATATATTAAATAACTAGGTCTTAGGGATAAGACTAATAGAGGGAGAGTATTATATTATAACTTAACTTTTATAGTTGCAATTATAGGCCTACTAGGTAGGCATTGCTAGATTAACTTAGGCCTGGTGCATTAATTAGCAATAGCTTAATATAAATTATATTTAATCTATTTTAACATATATTTAAGATTAATGGAAATTAATATTAATTTATTATAATCTAAAAATACTAACTAAATATATAAGTTTAATTTTTATACTTATTTAAATAACTTAAATAGCTAGTTATTAATATAGTTTTATACCTATAGATTAAAAAGCACTTTTAATCTTTATTAATAACTATTATTATAAT